AACACATACACACACACACTCATTCATATATATATATATATATATATATATATATATATATATATATATATATATGAAGTTTAAATTTTTCAAAATAATATTATCCTTTGTGGCTGCTCCAGAAATTTTATTTCTACAAAGAAATCATCTTAAAAATAATTATTAATATAATAATCTTAAACCTCAAATCTAGCTCAAATAGATCTTATATCCCAAAATCTAGGTCACCTAATCATCACTTAATCCCTTTAATATAAATCTTCATCTTATTTCTCGTGCCTTATCCTTTCAGGACATTGGCGACCATCGACTTTCACAAAACCTGATCTTTAACACTGTAAGAGTTGAAATGTGATGATATTCAACAAGTGACACAAGGACTTCACGAATGTTATTTATTGTTGACCGTGATCTCTTCTCCCAGCAATCTTTCCAGTAGTTGTTAGATTTTCCATTCTTTCCTTTCGCATGATGTGACTAAAAAACTTTAACTGCCCCCGTCGGATTATCAGTAGTAGTTTCCTCTTTTCATAACCGGACTGTTTTAATACATCCTCATTCGAAGTATGAGGGGTCCAACTAATTTTTATAATTCTTCTCAAAAACCACATCTCAGCGGCATTAATATATTTTTCCATTTCTTTAGAAATTTCCCAGCCGTAAGATAGGATAAGAAAAATGTAACACCCTGACAGTTTTAATTTTTTTGATATTCTGACTTTAATGTTGGTGAGGATGATTTTCATTTTAGAATATGCATCTTTCGCCATTTTCTCAACATAATTTTCTCTATCAAACGCACACACACATACATTCACACTCGCACATACACACGAGTTTTTATATTCAAGTCAGAAATAATTAAAGAACAAAAACCCTGATCAATGCTTCAAATAATTTATTAGGTAAAATAACTTAAGTAACGTGTTTTTGCACAACTATTATAGGATATATATATATTTTAATTAATTAATCAATTAATTAATTAATCAATCAACTAATTAATTAATCGCAGGAAAGTTACAAATTTTATTCAGAATGTCCAATTAAAAATGTACCAGAGAAATGTTATTACTATTATACGTAGTTTAAATAATTAAATGCCATGTTTAAAATGACGCGCTATAAAAAAAAGTACATAGTAATATTAATCATTTAATATAGCAATCATAATTTTTTCAATAATTCAAATAGATATACATAAATATAAAATACTAATGCATGCATACATTTCACACACACGCACACACACAAAATAATATCAGTAATTATTAAAATCAATCATCTCCAAACTAAATCGGTGAATTTTTAGTGGCAACAGTTGTTTGAATATTTAGAAAAAAAACATTTTAAAACGTAAAATAATAATAATAATAAAGAATAATTATAATTTACTCTTAATTAGAAACCAATTTGATTCAATAAAACAAATGAATGATTATCAATAACTCAATCGCCCTTTCAATCAATCAATCAATCAATCAAACAAACCAATCAATAAGCTAAATAATCGATCTCTCAATCAATCAATTAATTAATCGACCTAACAAATCAACCTATAAATAAAATAAGTCCTTTGAAACAACTTTCCAATTAAAACATAATCATAGAAGTATGAATGGTAATAGAATAAAAAAAAACA